ACAATTATTATAGAGAGAATTTCAAAGAATAACTGTACTATTCGAGATTGACCTTAATTGATCACGATAATTCGCAGATCATTCCTATTTATATCTAGTAGATCTGTGATCTCGCTCTCGATGGTGTGTGATAATTATAGAGGCATCACCCTACTTAACGTGGCATATAAAGTATTGTCCAACGTATTGTACAGAAGATTGATCCCCTATGCTCTACAAATAGTTGGGAACTATCAGTGCGATTTCCGACCCAATAAATCAACAACGGATCAAATCTTCACAGTCAGGCAGATTCTTGAGAAAACGCTTGAGTTCGGAGTCGACACCCACCACATATTCGTGGATTTTAAAGCCGCATACGACTCAGTCAACAGACAAAAACTTCTGCAGGCTATGGTGGAATGTCAAATGCCGTTTCATCTTGTTCAACTAACGGAACTTACACTCACAGGCGTAGAGAGTATAGTCAGAATCCAAAACGACTTTTCAAGACCCTTCCATTGTAAAAATGGACTGAGGCAGGGAGATGGACGTAATTCGAGAGTGCCATATTAATACGAATGGCACCATATTTAATAAATCTATATAAGTGGTCGGATATGCAGATGACATATATATTATTGCTAGGTCCACAGAATCTCTGATCGAAGCTCTTCGATCATTAAGGGCTTCTGAACTGAGAATGAGACTAAAAATAAACGCACAGAAAACCAAGTATATGTATTGTACTAGATCAGGCAACTAGATACCTAGACTATTAATTGATGATCTGGAACTGGAAGGTGTTGACACCTTCGTCTACCTGGGCTCGCTGCTGACCAAAGACAACAATGTCAGCGAAGAAATTAAAAAAAGAATAGTGCTTGCCAATAAGTGCTATTATGGCTTGAGGAAACAGATGGCCCCAAAACTACCCAGAAAAACTGTTCGATGAATAGAACATGTAATACGGCGAGATGAAGATGCAACGATCAGAAAAATTTTCCAGAGGAAGACCAAAACTTAGGTATCAAGATAACATAGATCTAAAATATATCAGAGTTAAAGCATGGAGAAGAGTTACCAGAGACAGGGGCGAATGGAAAATTGTTCTAAAGAAGGCTTTGGCTCATGACGAGCTGTAATACCACTGATGATGATGATCTGTGGATCTCTTCTTCGAAGGTTCATGTATAAATGCCTTCGAATGTTTAAGACCCATTTATTTGCACCACTGGCTGCATTTGATTCGTTCCACCTAGTCCGATATCGTTCTTTTGGCTGTACTTTTTGTTATGCCAACGAAAGGTTTTGGGCCTATGAATATTTCTTTTTTCTCTCCCTAGGCAAGTAGGTTCAATTTTTCATTCTCTTCAATACTAGTCTGATCAGGCACCTTTGTTAAATTTTTCCGATCCTAGTCATATTTTGAAGACAGTTAAAAACTAACTTGTGTCAATTCGTTTTGATTCCAGTGACTTTAATGCCGCAAGGCTATCCAATAAAGTTTTTATAAATCTGTCCCTGGAGTTCCCGTTTATTAGTTCCTGCAGGCACATCTCTATACCATAAATTTCTGATTGGAAGATAGTGGGCATATTATCTAGGCTTTCACTAAGGCTTAACCTTAGTTATCCTCCGTACACTCCAGCTCTGACTCTTTTATCAGCTTTAGGTCAGTCCGTATACCAGCATCGATCAACCATAATGAGATTCGTTTTATTCGATTCCCATTCGTCTCTTCCTGGAAAGACGACGGTAAACGGCTTTTCGAAATAATACTTAGGTGACATTGCATCTGGTACTAATTTCAACTATGGAATATTTTTTATTATATCTCCAGATATGGTCTCGGTATTCTTTTGCCCTGCTTCCTAGAGTTTTATCCGACTTCTTTATCCTCCTACCTTCGTCTCCTTCTCCATCATTCATGTAATGGAGGAAGGTCAAGTATGACCCCCATGGAGTCGGTTGTGATAGTCGAGAGCTTTAAATTAAATCTAATGAAGCATCAGCAGTTTTCATTGCAGTAAACCATATAGATATATACATAATCCAAAGTTGAACAGATATAACACTTGTAGAACATCTAGGAAATTTGTTGATCGACATCCCGATGAAACCGGGATTACTTTTTTTCTATCTTTGTTTCACATAATATGACTAGTCCAAAGAAGTTTTTCTTGTGTATAATTATAACTAAATATTTGTATTCATTAACTGTAGTAAATTGATTGTCATTCATTATCATCATTCTGGCTTTACAACCCTGCGCCTTACAACGCTTTACATCGCCTTCCTCTTCCAAGCACGTATTTCTCATGTCTTCATCGATGCTAGCAAGGAATCTTGTCTTGTGTTTTCCTCTTCTTCTGTGATCAATGGGTCTATTAAGAAGCTTTTTTCTAGCTGGGTGATTTTGTTCCATCCGTATTACATGCCCTATCCACCTTAAACGTCCTATCTTAAAAGGTTTTTTCGATATCTGGTTCCTGGCATTTTCTATAAAGTTCAAAGTTGTATCGTCTTCTCCACACTCCATTGTCATTCACTGTTCCATAGACTCGCCTAGGTACTTTTCTTTCGAAACATCCTATGATCGTTTTCAGCGTTCTTGGCGTGTGCATGTAAAAACACTTGCAATAAGTTGTTTCATCTGTCTTTCCTTGTCTAAGCTCGATTCGTTTACCTCCTCCAGTGGCGGAGCAAAATGTAGCATGTCAAACGAAATAATAGTTATAAAAGAAAATTATAAATTATTTTTCATTAAATTTCTAATAACGGAATACACGTATAAATTGCGAAGAAGTATTTTTCTAGCTTGCAGTACAATAGGACAGGATATAACGAAAAGTACATTTTAAAAGGATTTTGAAATATACTCAAAAAAGTGTTAATTATTTAACCCACTTTAATTCAAAAATGATACAGATTTTTTAAGTTTTAAGCACTGTAGCGAATTCTGAACTGTTACAACGTACTGACCTTGATTAATTAGCTAATCAGTCAGCGTCTTCACTGGAACTGTCTTCATCATTGGAATCTTCCGCCAAATCGATGATAATCCTACTTTCATTTTCATCATATGTGACCATTTTTGCCCAGTCGTAATGAATTAATTTTTCAGTATGGTTAACACAACTCGCCCACGCTGCACGTGATACCTCAGCTAATGCATCGCCCCAAACTTTTTTCACTGTTTCATCTCCACGTCCATGTTTTCCAATATGACGATCATAGTATTGTTTAGAAATGCCCCAGACCAACTCAATCGGATTATATTGACAGTGATATGGAGGCAATCTCAAAACCTGATGTCCATGTTCTTGGAGTAGCTCGTCTATAACGTACCTGGTATTTTGTGGTTTATTCTGGCGACAAAGACTCAATAGCTCTGTCTTCCCCGAATCGTCGTCAAAAATTATTTTTTTCGCTCGTAACCATTCTTGTAAGTCCGATTTTTTCCAGCTGGCATTCAGTAACTTTTCTATTAAAGAGCTATGGTATGAGGCATTATCCATAATAATTAGAGATGGTTCCTCGAACATTGTTATCAGCTTCTCGGGACCCACTTTTTAATAGACTCTTTATCAATAGAATCATAATAGTCTTCGATTTCGTAGAAAACAGTAATCCAGCATCTTTAACAAATCCTTGCCTACTTCCTTCATTTAAAACAACAAAGCGTTTACCTGTATTTTCGTGTCCTTTTCTGATGCTTTTCAGACAGTCATTTTGCCAAGTACGTTTATAAAGTCGTTTGGAGACAATACATGGTTTCTCACATAGCACTCGTCTACTATTTTCTAGTTTGTATGAAAACCCACAATTTTTCATAAGACGCCACAAACTTGTATCAGAACCGTCATAGAGATACTTGTTTTTTAATTGTGTATTTAGAACTTTAATTGTAACGTGCTCTCCTTTTGCTTTCATGCCATACAGTACATTTCTAATATCTCCTTTTATAGTATCGCTGACATCATTAGTCTTTTTTTTGTACATGACTCTCCTGGTGTAGTAAGAGCTGCCCCTGTCTTGTATTCACTCTTTATTCTTGTCACTGTGCGAAGACTGATTTTAAAAGCGTCCGCTACTCGTTCATGTACCGATGATCACGAAAGCAAAGGTCCGTTGTTTTCTTTTTCTTTTTTAAAATAATTCAATAAATGAACTACACATTGTCGCATTTCTCCTGTTATCGTTTTTCCCAGCATTTTTTTTTTATTAAATAGAACAATTAGTTATTCACAACAAAAAATAATAAGTAAAACTGTTCGGAATAAATTCTAACAATGACTGACCAAAATTGACTAAAACAACATAAAATATCAATGGTAATTGCTACAATTATAAAGTCGAGAGTATTATTTTATGTAATGGAATTCCACACAGTAAGAGCTCAAACTATTAATTAATTAAAAACTGTTTACTTATAAAAACTATTTCATCAGCTACTTCAAACCTGCAAAGATCAGGGTAACATGTTAAAAAAAACACGTCACTGCCAGCTATCTGTATTCGTAAAGAGGCCGAACTTATCACCGACACCGTATCGGCCAAACGTATCGGTGTTATTGCTACAATACTGGGAGACGTGAGTGGTCTCTTCATTCCCTTCTCATCGCACTTTACCATGACGAACGTGACTCGCACAATTGAATTACGCATCTGTGTATCAGAGAGAGACGAATATTAAAAATTCCGTAGTAGCTTATTTCAGGCACACGCCAAGAACGATGAAAACGAGTATAACATGTTTTCATTACTTTTTGTTAGAGTCCAGGTCTCTGTACCATATGTTAGGACTGAACGTATTATTGTTTTGTAGAGATTTATTTTTGTAATTCTTAATACAATTGTGGATTACAGGAGATTGAGTCCGAAATAGCATTTGTTGACCGTACAAATTCTGCGGTTTATCTCTGCGGTAGTATTATTTTCAGTGTTAAGAAGCGCTCCCAGGTATACAATTGATTGAAATTGACCATAGGGTAAACTAGGAAATAAATTCACGATATAATTCAAAACAGTTATATTTACAAATCTGTGGTTGCCTTATAATCTATTATACTCTGAAACAACTCTCACAAAGATAACAGTAGAATAAAGTACTCTTTTAGTAACTTATTTAAATTTACAAAGACAACAATAAATCATTAAATGGAGTATCTACTTGATCCTTAACTTTCGTAAAATTATCTATAAACGTCTGCCGTTGCTTATCATTCGTTAAATTTTTGTAGAAGTCCGCTCCAGCGATGCAAAGCATTTTCCTATCTTCGTATTCATATCTTCCAACTCTAGTTTGAATATATGAAAAGTACGAACGTAACCAATCATTGGTGGTAGCACTGACGAAGAAGCAAGTTAAGCACCACGTCGCCATACCGATCGAGAAGGACTGAGTAAAGTTGGATAAGCTAAAAACGACCCAATCTTGGAGCAACGAGAGCTGGTTCCTTTGTATTGCACTCTGGAAAACCTAAAAGAAGAAAAATTTTGATATAAATTATCAGTAAATGTAAATTAATTCATATGTAAACAAAAAAAAAATATCTTGGACATTTTGAACCGAAGAAATAATCTAAAAAGAATACATATTTCCAAAAATATATTTTTAGTGGATTTAGTGGAGTTTGTGGATTTTCTAAACGGCTAGGAACTTTTATTAAAATTGCGTTGAGACGCGTACAGCATGAGACAGTCGCAACAATTTTCAAATTACGCGCTAGAAATGGTATTGAGTTGTGTGTTGTTTAGGTAAGTTTTTTTATATAAAATACTTTAATGAGTTATAAAATATCCCACATATATTTTTAAATTGTTATTGTTTTAATTGACCAAAGATACCTTCTATTAGCTTTTGCGATCATTGTCTGTTTTGTTTTTGAACGATATTTTACAATATTAACCACTCTTCTTTATAATGTATTATGGACCTCCTTAAGAAACATGTTTTGGGCCACCATGGGACGTGTCTCAAGGTAGCCCACTCAAGGTGTTGTAACCTAATCTGCAATTATGATTGCTAACCTGAGAGCATGGTATAGAAAGACCTCAACACAGCTATTTCGTATAGCAACCAACAAAATCATCATAGCCAGAATGATCGCCAACGTTCGGAACGGACAGGCACCCTAAGAAGAAGATGCACTGATTGTCATGATTTTTATTACTAAATATCATTTCGGTTTCAGTAGAAATTTACCTGTGATTAAACGTCAGCGACAGCGATAACCGAAAAGCCAGAGCAGCCAGAGGAACATATCGTCACCACATAATTATTGAAACCACATATAACAGAACGAAAACAGAGAACAAATTTTGATTTTAAAAATTAAACCAGCAACAGTATCTTCCCTCGACATGTAAATTGTGAATTTTACATTTGACCAGAGGAGTACATCTCAGATAATTATACCTGGAGAGGTTAATTAATATAACGATGGCGGAGTTCATCATCATCATCAATGGTGCTACAGCCCTATGAAAGAGCCTCGACCTTCCCAAGTCTATTACGCCAGGCAGTCCTATCCATTGCCAACCGTTGCCAGTTTGCTGCGCCTATCTTTCTACCATCCTCATCTACACCATCCTTCCATCTGAGTTTTGGCCTACCCCTTTTTCTGCTTCCCACGGGTTGTGACATAAGGATTCTTCTAGGAGGGTTGTTCTGCTGTGATCTTGCTAGATGTCCTGCCCATCTTAATCTTCCTATTCTTATAAGAGATACTACGTCTTTACCACCAAATATTTGTTTATATCTGTGGTATACCTCGTAGTTGTATCTCCTCCTCCAAACACCATTTTCACAGATGCCACCAAATATTCCTCTCAGGATCCTTCGTTCAAATATAAGCAAAAGGTCTTCGTCTGCCTTGGAGATGGTCCATGTCTCCGATCCATATGTCAACACTGGCTGTATAAGGGTTTTGTATGGCGGAGTTCATACTGTTACGAAAAATAATGACTCATAAAACTGTATTCTTTTTCATTCTGCTATTTTCTAGATACTCCGACCCTCCGATGAGAACCTGTTTGCCTTCGATGGAATTCCTCTCTATTCGAGAAGGTCATCGATCCTTCGCCGAGATTCCAGACAACGGTTATTTAGTATATTTGGAACATTTTATTTGAAAAGGAGCCAGTCCGAAAATATAATCGTATCAAGTTTAAATTGTAACGGGAAATAAATATTGTGAAATAAATTAGTGAATATTGGATATATAAAGTAATAAAGACTTTAATAAACTTGTAAGTGTTGTAAAAAGTGTAGAACCCTTTTATAATAAATAAAGACAATAAATTAGATTTATAATAACGGTTCAATACTAACCACAGTACCTTAAAACATAGTACGACTCGGGGTACCATCATTATCATTAGCTCGACACCTTTTGTGAGTCTTGTCTTTTGTGAGCATTTTCCTTCCTTTTGATTTGTTCTTTGCTTTGTTTTTCTACTGAGTCACTTTTAAGCTGTTCAGATCTTATTCCGCTTGCATCATATATCTAAGTTTTGGTCTTCCCTTTGAATTTTTCCATTGGTGTCTGTCGTATTATTTTCTTTGGTATTTCATTCTTCTGTATCCGTTCAACGTGGCCCATCCAAGGTAGACGTCAAATCGTTATAGATGATATGATGTCAGGTTCTTTGAATGTTATAGTTTGAAATTACATTATCTACGTCATACAATCCATCCCGAGTTGTTATCAAAAATAACGACAGTAGGTATATATCAGATTAATAATTAAAGTGGTCGTTGCTACATAAATAATGAGATTCTTTAAAAACCGATTTCAACTAAATCTAGTGAACGAGTTAATATAACGCTAAAACTAAATTCAAAAGACAAAAGTCTTAGGTTATATAGCTTTGAAGCCACGTTCTTGCCTAGGGAGTGAGTTGGTAGATTTCTTGTAGGCTGTGGATTTAGTAGCTGAGAATTCTAAGACGAAGTGGTTGTTTCTTAAGCAGCGCTGGATTTGTCACATCACGGACTGGCATTAATACCCCATTTGTTCAGTGATTTGTTGCAAACTTCACGTATTCTAATTATATTGCACCATTCACGATGAGGGAGAGAAAAGTCGTCTGGTTTAATTGTGGTATTCTTTTTCAGATTAAAATTTCTAATCTTTAGACTCCATTCACCCACTCAGTGCTCATCAGTAGTAAAATCAGTCAGTCAAATCTTTACCAGTTCTAGTAGGCGGATATCTGGATCTTAGTCCTAACTGTATCTGGTCTAGTTCAGTAATGTCTGTATTTATCGGCAGTGCTGGGTTCTGTTGGCAGTTATGAACTAGAGCTTTGAGTGCGGCTAATAGTCTTGTTGTAGGTGGAGCGATGTTACTCAGAACTTGTGCCTCATTGTTTGATTTAACTAGGTATCTATAATTTTTTTGTCCAACTTAACTAGGCATCTATAACTATCTGATGACTTTTTAGACAGACAGTGACACAAAATTCTGCAGTAGAACTTTCTAAGGACAGCGCGCTCGTCGTTCCCCATGATGTATTTGCTAGCTTATGATTAACGTTATTTCGGGTCTTTATTTTAGCTGCAGTGGTTTCCTTGTTTCTTATATCGTCGTCTTGGGATTTCAGGCCCATGTCATCGGTATAAGTAAATTTGCGTAAGGTTACGTTAATTAGTTTTATGATAATATTACTAAACGGCATCCCAGTAAGAAAAACATATTTTTTCAATATCTAAGGGTAACACTGGTTTTCCAATTAATTACACATATTGAATTTTTAAGGAATTAGTAATAAACATTTAGTTTAAAATTATTATAAAGAGTATTTTCGCAATATCATAAAGCAAGAGATAACTTCGTTTAACTGAATGAGTAATGTAAACGTCACTTCTTAACGAAATAATATTTTATTTGGAAGACCCAAATTAATGGAATATACCGAGAAAACATCAATACAAATAACACCATCTTGGCTTACTTCCAAGTAAACTTCGTTTATTACGGATGACTTACGATAACGATGAGCCTTTCAACTAAATCTTACGACGAAAGTCAATAATTAAAAAAACTGAATCTATAAAAAAACCGCTAAGAAAATAATTTTTGAAAGATGGATTCTTTTAATAAAATAACGTAAACATCAAAACTACATTTTAAATAAGTGATGATGTTATTACGTCAAAATTAATGCAGTTTTAAGAGAAATGAAAGATAAATATGACTGTATTATAAATATACCGAACCGTTAAGTAAAATAAATGTAATAAAGCAGAAAATAAATACTTAATCTTGGTTTTATTTTGCACACTGATTTACGTAATATGATTAACGTTGTGTATTGTACGCCAGGAAAATACTATACTATTTAGGTTTAGGAACTTTTCACTGGAGGGTGTCAGTTTATTCATTTCGACAATAATGACAATCTCATTCGATTTTCTCGACCAAGACATGATAGACTGCATAAAATACGACCTATAACTGATAAATTCTACAAACAATTTTATAGTGTTCCTCTTAAACAACACCTTTCCGTAGGTGAACAGATGTGTTCACTGTATGAAACAATATCTACCAAAAAAACCACATAAATGCAGTTTCAACTTTTTCGTGCTAGCTGGAATTTCTGGTTTTTCCTATAACTTTGAGATATATTCAGGTCAAAAGAATTCTTAAGATCGCCCTGCCGGTCAACCTGATCAAGGTGCATCTTCCAATGTTGTCATCCGCCTGCCAAGAATCATACCACAAAATAAGAATTTTCGCTTGTATTATCATAATTATTATTCTAACGTTTAACTGATGGTTTACCTAGCAAAAAGATGTGTATACTGTTTGGAAGCCGATCAAAGAAAACGTATACCAGATTGTAAGTTTCCCACGGAAAAGGAATTGTAAAATGTCCCTCGTGATGTAAGCGTTGAATATATGGCTACGGTAGGTGATGTGGATATATCGTCAGTAATTTGAAAAGATAACAAAGATCATGTGGGTCTAGTGATACAAAATACCCCTGAAGAGTAGGAAGTGGTACATTCGTCTTATCATTTACTTGACCTTACAATGGCGATTTCATGGATATTATATCAGGCCACCAAAACCAGAGTGGTCCAAGTGCTAGAAATCAAAACCAGAGATATGGGAAAAAATAGTTTAGTGAAATTTTCGAGTTAGTGTAGAAATTAAGTAAATATTAAACACATTGCTTAGTTCGCAGCATAATACTTTAATTAGCCTGATGCTAATTTTGTAAGTATTTGTAATTTTTTTAACAGTTGGGCCACTTTGGCATTGCTGTTTGAGACAAGCATGTCAATAAAAGTAAGAATAATAGGCCATCGGGTATGAAAACAACCCATCCCATAGAAATAAATTAATGTAATTTACCGGAAACATATGAAACATACCAGAGATGATGACTTTTATTAAACTGAAAAATTACAAATTAAAACTTATTGCTAGTTTTTTTACTTAAGTTGTAATCACTTTCACTTTTCTTGTTTTTAAATGTTTTCATTATACACTACTCCACTGAAAAATCACTCATTGCTCCGTCTAATTCATTGCTTGCAGTGTTAGAGTCTGCTAGTTGGTGGTAGAATTGATAATAGATGGGCGGAACATATTTTAGTAAACACAGAAGGTCTTTCTTTTTTCAGAGTTTATTTTTCTTCCGTCCGGAAAGAGTGTTTCGAGCTCTAGGTTAGCAGCATCTTAAGAATTCCTTTTACTGAAGCTAACTTCAGTAAAAAAGACTTCTGGATTATTCGAATATTTGAAATACATGGAGAATGGATGCATCCTACTATACAGCACCCACTGCATTTTTAGCCACTCTACTTTAGACCTAACAACGCTTATCTTTCTGTTCGTAATGTTACTTTCTAAGGCTTTCGTCGATATGAAATCGTCTCGTTTCATATGTACTACCTTGAAGGTATTCTTTTTTCCCGCTGCTGTTATCACGGTGTTCCAATGCTCCGGAATATATATGTTTGAGAAATACCCCTTCTGCTTTTCTATCAAGCTGAAAGCTCGGTTACAAGATAAGTAGGAATGGCCGCTCACTGTAAATTTGTGATCGATCTATTCCACAGTATAAGCTGGATTTGATACAATGTACATACACAACACCGCAATTTTTATATTGCGGTTCTGACCGCCACATTGGTCTGAGTACATTATTAGTTTCTTTGTACGTACATTATCTGTAATAAATTTGAATAAACATGAAACTATTTCCTGTGGCCCTCTGGATGCAGTCGATTCACCCCAAACGTATATAAAAATGTCATCGGTAGCAGCATTGTGAATCCCTAAACAGTAAGTCCATAACTGCCGTTTATAATAGCATATTCCAGTGTTAGGCTCAAACACCTGCCTTTGGTGTTAGTGTATTCCTCACCTTTAGCTCGTTTGTTTTTTCTCTCATTTTTTTTCACGTATTTTCCTTGCTCTCGTAATTCATTTTCGATGTTATCAGTAGTTTGTCCCACACCCTCCATCATGTGTAGTTGCTACAGCTCCAGGAACATCTACAGAACACAACAATAATTACTATTTATGTAAGATGTAAGCTTTGAAAAAATTAAAAAAAAATTAAAACAGTGCAATTAATGCTCTTTTGTAGGTTATGTTAACTTGACAAAGGTTATAACAGTTGAATTGTTGGTTAAATAACAGAGAAACTCACCTTTTACGTTACATGCAGTGCCTTCCGCGCCTTCGTTCTCACTTTCATTAATGTTTTTATTGATTTTCTAATTAAAACACTGTTATAAAATGAGAAACACGCAAATAACCTCTCAATAATATTCAGAATAGTTAACCGTTGCCAATACCAGAGCGGCCCAAATCACCTGGGTCAGTATGATTAAAATGGAGTATAAAATTACAATGCCAAAACAATACTAGTGTCTCCATCTGTTATTCTCGGAGAAAACTAATCTTATGCCATTGTGGCTTTGAAAGTATTATTATTTCACATCGTTTTTTGTGATAAAGTCTAAATATGAAAAAATGTCACTTGGGTCACTCTGGTTCTGGTGGCCTCATATAAGAGAGTACTTGCAGCAAGAAACGAAAAGACCAAACTAATATCCCAAGTACAATTTCGCACTGAGATAGCTAAATGTCAGTAATATTGAAGACGAGGTACAAAATAAAAAGAAAAAACTCGACAAGAAAAAAAAAAGAGCAAGTACCCGGGTTGTATGGGATTCACACACACACACGAAATGTAAAAAGTGTGACGTAGCACTAGGTCTGAATAAGAATCATATTTGTTTTTATAACTTCCACATTGAATAAATACTTAAGATCATTTCTGTCTTTTCGTACGCAATGTTACCTTTCGGATCATACCCATTTTTCCGGGAAAATGAACATTGGGGATAATTACAAATATTAACAAAATTTCGAAAAATCATACCTTTAAGGCTTATAACTAGCTTCGAAGTAAATAAGAATGCAAAAAAATAAAACGTGGAAGAAGAGGTATTTTCTGATTCAACAATTTGATAACACAGTTTGAATGTAATTCTGTTAACTTGCTAGCTGGATTCGGTTGGCGGTGATATCGAAGATGTGGGTTGCCATGATGATTGCCAATCTGAAAAGAGGAGATGGAACACAAAGAAGAAGAAGAGAAATGTAATCTTGCTACTCGATGTTCTCTAGAAAGTTTAAGTGCTCTAGCATGTATTTGAGATTAAGTATCATTCAACCATCTTATAACAGTTTGCTCACTTTAACAATATTCGAATTCTATTGAAAATCGTTTCTAATCTCTACAGCAGTTAGGTGCTAAAAGCACTATAAAAATACCATCCCGAGGAATAGTTTCGTCCGCTGACATATTCCGCATCTAAACTGGCATCTCTATAAAAGGTAAGATAAGTAACAGTTTAGTGAAACCCCAAATATGTTACCTATGTAAACACGTACATTTTTGTTGTCCTACATAAGAGCAACAATAGATGCAACATCTTCTGCGCTTAAAGAAATTTTGAAATTAGCAATAATTGATACAAACAAGGTAATGTTAAACACTTACAACTAGCAATAAAATATAATAATAATGTAGTGCCTATTTTTGCACATACCATCTTATTTAGTACTATATTATTACCTGAAAAACAACTTTGCTTAATAACTTCGGGTGAGGCTGCTGGGCGGATAAAAACTCTCCAATTACTTTTGTCAAAATATCAGAAGGAGAGAAGAAGTCATCCAAAACTTTCGGCATCACCGAACACAAAATTTCTACTTCGTACACGTAACCTCTCTTAATTCGTTCAAAAATAGCAGACACCATCTCGATAGTTTGGACCAAGCTATCGGGATTCGTCGGAGTATTGGAAGAAGTCTGAACACTTTGTAAATAATTAACACAATCTGAAAAAAAAATTTTACTTTAACATTTCAGTGATGAACAATCTTTAGGTACACAAGAACAAAAAATATTTCAATATTCAAAAATAACGGTTACACCAGGTCTATATTACTGTAATTATTTTACCGACTAGTTATTATTATTACTATTATTATATACAATAAGAACAAAATTTAATGATTAGTTCAAATTTAATATTGTCGAAATGAAAACGATACCCCATAAGAAATAATCCAGAAGTGTTAGGAGATCTAGAGGTCCCAAAAATCTAAGTATCTGTGAATCACTTTTCCATTAAATATATGGGTATTCAAGATATTCTCTTGGGATGATTCATCCATAAAGTTATTGACTGATTTTGTAAAAATTATAAACACCGTTCAGAATTCATAAATTCAATTCAAGATTATTCGCGAATCTTTACTGTAAAATGGGGATTTCCCTTAGACCACCAGTAAAAATGTTGTGACGAGACAGTTCTTTTATGGCTCTTTAAAAAAGGTATACAATGACAGCTTTGAATTTTCTACGACCGATAACATTACTTCTAACTGTGCGTTCTCATTGGCAAACAGTCTGCACCTTTGTTCATTAAGATTATTGTTAATACTTTCCTTAGTCTTGAATTTATTTAGTATTTCCATAACAGTTGAATGATTAATATTTGTATTTGGATGTTTATTGTTAAAAACACTTTCAGCTTCTGTATGTGAAACCAGATCGAACACTCTCACCTTCTTCGTCAAGGTTATCACATCAAATGAACTGAGATGCTAAGATGAGTACGAGGAGTATTCCTAGACGGGCTTAGGCTCCACGTCGAATTGCCCCTAAATACAAACCATATCCCTCCTAAGCCTAAAAACGCAAATCCCATCCTTCCTAACCCTAAGTATTGCGGCAAGTGAAATGGTCATACCATCCGGAGTGTCCTGAAAAGCAATACAAAGGCCCGACTTCATTTGAAATGTCCAACATCATAGAAATTTAAACCCACTGCAACGGCGAGCATGCAGTCTACTCAGCGAAGTGACTCCACGAAGAAAACACCCAAAACACTACAAGAAACCGATCCGATTACCACTGAAAAACGTGTCCCGCCATGTAAACTTTCATCAAATATAAAATTCCTGATTGAGTTTACTACTCTACTTCTTATTACCCTCCTACCCGACCGCCGCCAGTTAATTCTGAATACAATCAATACCCTATCCACCTCGCTGTTCGACCACTAGAGTACTCTCGTGGCCGAGAGTACTCGAGTTTACAGCTGGTTTTTTAGTTAAACGCTTAAAGTTCCGTTACCTTCCTACCCAAATACAAGATCCATATCCTTGCCCTCACAAACACCATTGCCAAAATCGATCCTACCTTCCAGGATACTACAATCTACACCGTCCCCGCTGCCTATTATCTCACTGTAACGGCTTCTTTATTTAAGATGAAATCCCCTTCTCACAACACACAATCCCTCCCCTTACTGCCCTTACAGATGACGACTTCTTAGCAGTCGATATAAACCTAGACAACAACACTACACTGACAGTAGTCTCTTATTACAAATACTCTGCCCAACAGCTCTCACAAACGTTGCTTGAATACGTCTCCAGTTTGAATAAGGCCATCAACCTCGTAGACTTCAACTGCAGGCACAACCTCATAACAGCTGCTAGCGTTGGAAAGGAGTATTCTGCGTAAAGTAAATCATAAAACCCCTTACTAACGCCCCCTCCAACCTAATACATCAACTAATCAACTATGGAACGTCCCTTGAGAGGCTCTTCTCTCTAAGCAGATCTCTGAGCAGAAGTTACACTTTACAAATCATCAGAGGCCAAAACATCCGAGCTTAAAACTCACTTTGAGATTTGCAAGAACAGCGAGGATCGGTTTTCTCTGGATTGCCGATCCCATTACATAATTATACCTTTAATTACTACTTTCGTTGGGAATAAGCCACAATATAATTTTAAAATAAGTTAATTTTTAAGATTTTTTTTAATAGTTATTAACTTAATTATTAATTAATTTTTGAAGTTTTGATTTCCAGTTCGGAAATCGTAATAATTATTAACCAGTCCCGCCACCATAACTAGAAATATGTCCTGAGGAGGTACAAGAGTCGAATAAACAGGACTTATGGAACACACCAATCTATAACAGCACACATTCATTCCAACTTCCTATACAATGAAGTCTTTATGCACAAGTCTAATTGTACCGTTATGATCGAAATTCGTGAAATATGTGCCAACTATATATGTAATTATTTCAAGGTATTAACAATATAATTTTAAAATGACGTAGCTGTTCTGTAAACTTCAAGTTCTAAAGTGTAAATTTGTACATTTTTAAAGATATTTACATTAACTGTATTATTAATTATCCATTTGTCATATGTCATATTGTGACATAGTTAACATATATGCATTTTATTCTTCAGTTGGTAAAAAGTAAATTATATTCACTCGATACTTTGGAATATTTAAATATACATTATATATTTAGTTTTACTCACCAGTGTATAAATAGCTTAACAAAAATTGAGTTCCTAAAATGGCTACAGTTGGATTATCACTTTTCATTTTATTCAACGCCAACTTCAGAAACTGTTTTCCGAACTGTTCTATAATTAATGACTTCTTTATTATCAACAACCTTTCCAAACCCTAAAACCAAATAAAATGGGATGATTATTCGCATATTAACGAGACGAGATAGATATGTACCTTAATTATGATCGTGTGTAACCAAGTCGCTATTCTTCCTTGAAGGGTTGTGAAAGCTGTAGTCATCACATTTGTAACAAAACTTTGTTCCATGTGGATTTCTTCAACATTTTCCACCAAATAAAATGCAAGTGACCATACAAGACTAGTATGTTCTTGAGATTTTTTTAGAACACTGCAAGAAATTTATAATTACCGTAAACTTTTGTATGTTAGAAAATATGCTATTCAAAGAAAAAGTAAAGATGATACTGCTTGAAAATTATTTATTTAAACAAAGATTCTACGATTTGTACATCAATTGCAATCAGTGGATTATATATAACTTACTTTCGATGTATAAACATACTATTATTTTTATATTGTTCAAAATACAAAAATAATAAAAGAATTTAGATCCAAATTAAAATTTTATTTATATTAAATACCCAAGAATAATTATCGAACATCGCTATCAGCACAAGTCAAAAGATGCCATGAATATTTCAGTTAAGCCCTCCACTCACGTTCCAACGCCGCAGTAAGAATTTGTCGAATGCTACAAAATTGAACGTAATTTGATCGCGTATTTGCACCATTCGACCGAATCGGTACGATTTGACCACAGACAAACAAGTCAGTCTGTAGCAGTACGACAGTTGTTTGGGTCGCAAATTTGACCATGTATATTGTCACGACAAAATAGACGTTTGCAAAAACATCATTTGCTGGTAAATTTCGAAAACGGCTAATAGCTGGAGGTTTTTAAGAGATTTATTTGACATTTATAAAGAATAAAGTATCTTCGTAAAATAAAATCGATATCATATCATGATAAAACCGCTAGAAAAAAAAGCTGTGAACATTTTGATTGCTAAATTTCAAAAAGTGAAAGCGGATACTAATGAAGAGTTGGTAAAAAAGAAAATTAATAATTTTCGAACAAGTTACAAAAGGAAATTAAAAAAATGATCTGGATATAATTGCAATTCTTGTAATAAATGTACGTGACAGTATGTATGTCTTTTCAGCAACCAATCTTTGCACCACCACCTACGTTTCTTGTATTTTTTATTCATTTATATAAAGTGCAAATTTGAAAGTAAACCTCATACTGCAAAATCGGTACGTGTGTGTTCCCATCCGATTTTCAACATTATTGTAGTGCCATTGCATTCGACAAAATCGTACTGTGCCGTTGGAACGTGAGTGGTGGGCTTTAGTCTCTAAGTGCAGTCCCAATAATACCATAAGGCGCACAAAATAAAAACCCCAATATCGACAAATTAAGAATTAACACCAATGAACCAAAAATGTAAGAAATAGAAATGGTCATAAAAAAAACTGAAAGCCTACAAAGCAGCCGGCCCTGACAATATTCCAGCAAAGTTTTTAAAAGCTTGCCCAAGCAGAACAACAGAGCTAATCAAACGATTCTTGCAAAAGAACTAGAGAGAGGAAAAGTTCTCCAAAGAAAGGAAAACGGAACTTATAATAAAAATACCAAAAAGAGGTGACAAAAGATATTGCGAAAACTAAAAAAGAAATCACACTTCTGAATACCATAAATAAATTTTAGTAATAATTATAATCAACTGATTGACAAACCAATGTTTAGGAAGGGATAAGCCGATTTCAGACCACTTAGAGTAATCGTAGAACAGTCGCAGGAAATCAGCTCCCCACACTTCATATGCTTAGCGACTTCAAGAGAGCCTTCAACATGTGGGCGTGTGGAAAGCATTAATGGAAATAGGAATACCATACTTTCGAAAACTAAACCCAACAATACACAGGAGAAATCAAATAATTGCATTTATAATGTATAATGTTGCCTTGATTTTTATCTGGGATAAACCTCAAGACTACTAAGTGTTAGAATAAAAGACAAGGAATCATACAATAAAAACATAGATTTTGACTTGACAGTTCCAGATATGCAAACATGCTTGGGATAATGCAACAGAGTATACTGGAAATATGTATGAATGGAAGAAACAGAGCAAAAAGAGAAAATCAAAAAAGCAGCCCTCATCTTATTAAATAAAGAAAACTGTGTAACAAAGTTGTCAATAAAATGTAGCAGGTTCTGGTTACTACTGCTAAAAGATGAAATCAACAATAAGAATACACCAACATTAATGAGTTAATAGAAAATTAGAGACACATTATCTATAAATAACTACATAAGGACAAAAAGATCAGAAGTTGATATTAATCCTAGGGTACAACAATACCTCTCAGAATTTCACTCAAAAAATGGGTATATTCCACAAGATAAAGACCAAGTAAGTCAACTGTCAAATTGGTTGCCACCCAGCACTAATTTCTAAACATTTATAGGTTAAATCTAGTAATTTATTAATTTATAAAAATGTTAAAAACGATTTCCATATTGAAAATCGAAACGTCAAATAAATGTAATTCTCATTACAATCGATTGTGGTTTAATCCCATATAAAATAATATTTAACATAAATACTATTGGCTCAATAAATGCAAAGTGGAAGTAATTTAAATCAAATCAATGCAATGTGAACTGTACCACAAACCAAGAGAGCTCAAAGCAATATTAAAATAAAATAGATGAATTGGTTATGATAAAAATTAACAAACTAATCAAGTTTAAATATATATGCGAACTAATCAAGTCTAAATACACTCACCGGCAAAATTAACGGAACACCTTAAAATTGGGACATGTTAGATGTCTCGAATTTCCTAAACCTGTTGTCCGATTTTAGTGATTTTTTTAGTATGTTATAGGTATATTATTTAAGAATATCGATGTAATAATATTGTTGCTAGACAGGTCAATGTCATTTTATACCGGGTGTAACAATCCTACTGTTTTTTCCTTAAAGTTCGGAACACCCTGTGGAATATTCTAGCATATATAAAATATTGAAATTAAAACTTAATTATAGCATCAGGCTTTCTTAACATTTTCTTTTTTGATTCATTTGCTTATGTTTGATAATAAAAAAGTTAGGTACGTTAACAACTAGCCATGTTTTTCATCAATAAATCCTCATTTTCTGCTTAGTTTAATAAACAAGCCTAAAGTAGGCTATGAGAAGTTAACAATTTAATACACACACCGGCAAATTTAAAGGAACCTGTTATTAATGCAATATTTCTTTATATTTGTATTTTATAGACTATATCTACATAGCTTTGAAAGCTCCTTGTCACAAGAAAGTCTTAAATGTCAAATTAATTTGTTTATTTGTAATGTGTTTTACATTTTACAGTCATTCTGTCTGTTCATAACAAGTACAAACTTGTATTTAATTGAGCGCATAGTAAGAAAGAGACTTAAAAAAGCCGGTCTCAAGTCATATGTGCCAATAAAAGCTCCCAGACTCCAGAGACACCATCGTTTAGCACGACTATAATTTGGTCGAGGACATCAAAATTGGAATGATAACCACTGGAGTCAAATTCTCTTTACGGACGAGAGCCGTTTCTGTGTAAATTACATCGACGGTAGAGAAAGATTGTATCAACGCCAAGGAGAACGAAATGCCCCTTTCAATTTTACTACGACCGTACCTTTTGGTGGAGGTTCAATTATGGTGTGGGGCGGTATATGTTTGGGAGCAATAACAGAGTTAGTGGTGATTGATGATGGAGCATTAACAGCAGATAAGTATATCAGAGATATTCTCCAAGACCATGTGGTACCTTTTTCACCATATATTGGCGAAAATTTTATTTTAATGCAGGATAATGCGAGCCCACACGTCGCAGACTGTGTAAGATATTTCTTATTACAAGTGGGTATAACAACGATGAATTGGCCAGCTTGTTCCCCAGACCTAAACCCGATAGAGGATATGTGGGACATGCTAGGCAGAAAACTTAGGGCACGGGTTCCTGCTATTCAAAACAGAGAGGAAGTGACAATTGCTTTGATTGAGGAATGGGAGAGACTGCCCAACAACTGATCGATAGCGGTATCAGAAGTATGAGAAGACGAATAACTGCAGTTGTAAGGGCTCGTAGGGGAAACGCACGCTATTAAAGTCAAAAAAATGCATAAAAAACCAATTTAAGTTCAAACTGTACAATAAAGTTAATGCGTTTAAAATCCGTATTTTGTTGAGTCTGACATCTTTGTGTTTTATTTCTTCTTAAACAGGTTTTATATTGTACTACCATTGTAGTATAAATTCAAAATACTTCACCAACATTCGTATTATGATATTATCTAAACAGTATATAGACTAGAGAGAAAATACTCAGATTTTATGGTTGTTCCTTTAAATATGCTAGTGAAACTAAGAAGAAAATGAGCATTTATTGATGAAAAACATGGCTAGTTGTTAATGTACCTAACTTTTTTATTATCCAACACAAGCAAATGAATCAAAAAAGAAAATGTTAAGAAAGCCTGAGACTATAATTGAGCTTTAATTTCGATATTTTATATATGCTAGAATATTCCACAGGGTGTTTCGAACTTTAAGGAAAAAACACAGTATGATTGTTACACCCGGTATAAAATGACATTGACCTATCTAGCAACAATATTATTTCATTGATATTCTTAAATAATATACCTATAACCTATAACATACTAAAAAAATCACTAAAATCGGACAACAGGTTTAGGAAATTTGAGTCATCTAACATGTCCCATTTTTAAGGTGTTCCGTTAATTTTGCCGGTGAGTGTATATAAAAAAAACAGCTGGTGGTACTTGGGGAGTACCGACAGAAGTAAATACTTCTTACAGTGCGTCATTACTATATGGGTTAATAAAATGTTATGTCTGCTTATTACTAAATTGTTAATATTTTTTATAATAATACCATATATATTTAGGTTTTTTAAAATTTTAAAAATCTTAATTTTTTTTTAATTTTATTTAAGTTTCTAGCGGTTTTTTTTTAGAATTTTTGTAATTTTCAAAATTTGTCATGCATATATATTATAGTCTATACTACGTTCCACGTTTAGAAAATAACATTGCGGAGATAGGGCCATGTATTTCTTATGGACGATAGCAACGCGGCGTTGCCACGACACACACAAGCACAATTTAGGGTTGTATAATTTGTATTTTTGTTTCCACAAACATGAATTAAATTAATGTTTTTTAACGTAATTGACCAAAAGTGCCCATTCGAAACAAGAGATGAAAAGTAGGGAAAATGGTTTTAATTAGATAAATAGTATTTACAAAAGATA